GTGTGTGTGTGTGTGTGTGTGTGTGTGTGTTGTGTGTGTGTGTGTGTGTGTGTGTGTGAGTGCGTTTCCACTGTTGCATATTAAAAAGGGAACTGACTGATGAAAGCAGCTGTTTCAGCTGAAATGTCTGTGATAACTCAGCAAACACAGGCTGGTGCGTTTGATTTCAAGACCAGGGCGCGCCGTCTGATGTCACATTTTATTTAACCAGGTCGGACCCCTCAGGTGTGTGCAGACAGCAGGCGACACGAGCAGATTCTACCTGTGAATCAGCTGCTGCTCGAGCTCCGCACCCGAGCCCGTGTTCACCTGGTGCAGACTGGGTTTATGAACTGGTGCAGACTGGCTCAGTGTTGGTTTGGACTTTCAGCCCATGCACGTTCCTGTGTCACGGAGCTGAGTGGGTTTGTTTCATGTTTGATGTTAAACTCGTGTTTCAGGCTCACCGCGTGGGCCTGGTCTTGGTCTGAAGGTGTCAGGTAACGGTGTTCGGGGGTTTTCCTTTCCTACTAAACGGTTATTTTGTCACCGGGGGAAGTTGTGTCGTATCTGCACAGGATGAAGTATTTTAGTGTTTACCACAGCAGCTGACTGTGACTCACTACAGCTCAGTTTCTGCTTTTCTTATTCTGCTTTTAGATCAGCTCAGGTCCAGCTGAGGCTTTTCTGACTCTTACACAGAACCTGGTGACAAACTGGGATTGTGCTCATGGAGGCTGGTTTGGTTTTACTCTGGATTGGGATGGGCTCGTTTGGGGTCTGATTCATCTTGGACCTTGGTTTTGGACCAGTTTCAGGCCGATTTAAACTGGTCTGGCGAGCTCCTGTAGGCGGGTCCGTCTCTGATGCTGGGATGGAAACTCCTCGGTGGGCGGTGTCGTGTGTGGATGTGCAAACTGCTGAGGGGGTGGAGGTGTGCTCGGTGACGACGGACAGCAGGTTTGTGTTAAAGAGATAACGCCGTGTTTTATCACCTCGCTGCGTGACGTCATTGATGAACAGGAAGCAGGTCGCCTGTCCGCTTCCTGTTTGCCAGCTGACCTCTGACCCTATGATTGCTGAACTTCCTCTTCAACTGGTCCCTCTCACTTTCACCTTGCGATGACAGCGACGAGCGCGGCGCCGCCCTGAGCGACTGAATATCTCCTCCTCACAGAACAGGAAGGAAAGCAGCTGTTTGGACGTCTGCTGACATCAGCTGTAAAGTTTAAATCGCGTCTGAGCTGAGGAAGCGGCCGTGTCATCAATAAACCATGAAGAAGAGTCGCTCTGATATTCTCAGGTGAAACGGAGACGCTGAGCGTTTATGCTGAGGTGGAGCGCGACTGAAAAACACTCGTTTTAAACTTAAAGCTGTGATCGGAGTTTGTCCGAACGCCGTCGCTCACGCTGGAGTTTCCCGGGTTTCCCGAACCCAGCGCTCAGCTGGTCTGTAATTCATGTTTGATGTTAATATCAAATGATTGTTTACCTTCGCACGGCGGTCATGTGATCATGTGCCTTTTAAATCCATACTAACCAAACTCGGCACACGGCTGTGCCCGCTGATGGAGATGTCTTCAGGTTGCCTAGCAACCAGCTAATCACAGCACTGTAACGTGAACATTAGTGACATCAGCAGAATCAGTAAAAAGTTTTTATTTCACGTTTTCCTGTCATTTGTTTGTTTTTTCTTTTTAGCAGATTAATTTTCTGATTATTGTTTATTTGGATTTGATGGTCCGTTCACTTCCTGTCCGTTCACTTCCTGTCCGTTCACTTCCTGTCCGTTCACTTCCTGTCCGTTCACTTCCTGTCCGTTCACTTCCTGTCTGATCTGAATGAGCAGTGATGTGTCGAGTTTTTAAATCGGGTTCTTCGCTGTGACGTCACGTGATGGCGTGAAAACATCAGTGAGAGGCTCCACAGCCAATCAGAGGAGAGTTTACAGTTAGAGAAGACTGATTTGAAACACACACACACACACACTCTTCAGTTTAATCGCACGTCGTAGCAGAATCAGCGTCGGTGTTTACCGTCACGCTCCGTCAGGGCGGATCCACACAGCAGCCTCTCTGCTGCTCTCTGATTGGTTGATTCGGGGCTGTGAGTCATCGTCCCGACCTCCAGTGCGTGTCAGATTCAAGGTCCAGTAATAATCTTAACTAATTTGAAAAAGTAATCTATTACCCTGGAGCGTATCAGAGTTGGTGTAAATGCCGGCGTTGGGCCACGCCTGCTGGTGATGTCACGTTTGCAGTAATGTATTTGGTGTGACTGACTGTATTTTCTGCTGCCCTTCATCTGCAAGCTGCTTTGCAGCCCGCCTGCTGTGGTGACCTGTGCTTTCTGTCCTGCAGTGGAGGATCGACAGGAGGCATGACCGAGGAGAAATGTCCCCAGCTGGTGGACTACTTTGTAGTGGCTGGCCTGGACCCCGCGGGGCCGTGGAGGCCCCTGGACGAGGATGGGAAGGCCGCCGCCTCCTCGACGGCGTCCTCGTCTTCTTCCTCGACGGGCCGGGCGGCAGAGCCCGTGACGGACCTGGTGGTGATCGCCCGGGGGCTCGGGGAGGACGTTCCCGAGGGCTTCACCTGCATCGAGAAGACGCTGGGCGGACACTCGGCCGAGCTGAGCGCCGGCCTCATCAACAACCCGCACCTGTACCTGTGTTACCGCCGAGGGCGGGACAAGCCGCCCATCCTGGACCTGGGGTGAGACGCACACACGTTTGTGGTTATGAGCTGCGATGTGTTTAAATCCTCAGACTGGTGCCGGCACGATTTCCACCTGAGAGCCGACTGATTTTGTCGATTCAGAGTTGAAGCTGAATGAAAAAATGTTTTCTTCGTGAGAATTTAACGTTAAAAACATTCGACGTGTTTTATTTTGCGTCAGCTGTATATCAATAAGAAATCCTCGTTATTCTTTTTCATCCAGCGCTCGTTTCGTGGTGTCTGTCAGTAACAGCTGGAGCGTGCGAGGCTCTGATGCAGCTGCAGGGTCTCTGGCTCGTGCGGTGCTTATTAAAGCCGAGGTTATGTCATCCACAGGATTATGTAACGCAGTGGGCAGGCCGTCGTGCTCGCCTCGTTAGTTTACACTCAGTGTTGGGAAATAACGAGCTTAGTCCTTTCAGATTAGGTGGAGCCGCAGGTTTGGACAGACCTCCAACCTCGGAGGGAACCCAGCCTTGTCCGCCTCCTGTTAGCAGGATAGGTGACAGTGGGGAGGAAGAACTGTGTTTAAACAGGAAGGACAGTCGTCTGAGGGCCTGGTTGGGGTGAGGGAGGGAGAGGGTGAGAAAAGGTGTGAGCAGCGTTCCTCCCTGCGGCGGTTCAGGCTGTGGTTAGCGATCATCGCACTGATGGTGCGACCGATGGAGGCGCTCTGATGCACTGCCCTGTCTGCAGGGTTCTGTACGAGGGGAAGGAGCAGCTGAAGCAGGGCTGGTACGTTATTGAAACCACGCCGTACAGCCGCTCGGCGAGCCTGAGCGCGGGCGGCGCCCCCACGGCTCATCGGGTCTTCCTGACGTACCGCCGGGCTCCGGACTCGCAGGGCCTCCACACGCTGGGCGTCACCGACATCGCCCTGCTGCTGCCCAGCAAGGGCGAGGTGGCGCCGCACACCTTCTGCAGAGTCGACAAGAACCTGAACACGGGCATGGTGAGTGCGGGGAGGCGGGGGTGTTTCAGGGGTTTGAGCCCCCCGTGAGTGCTGCGTCACTGACCCTGTCGCTGTTTGTGTGTCTGCAGTGGGGCCCAGCACTGCACGTGTGCTACAAGAGAGCCGTGGCTACAGCCAACGCCCTGGTGTTCGAGGCCGGTGAGTACCCGCGTGACCCCGTGTGTTTTCAGCCTCCTGCAGGAGGCGAGAGTTAGAAACACTGCAGAGACACGGGGAGGTTTCCCCAGTCCGTGCAGCACAGCTCCCAGCTGCTCACATGAGTGATGGTTTTCGTCATATGGAGCTCCCAGTACGCTCCCAGTGGAAAACCAGAACTGAGGGTCGCAATAAATCCAACAGGAAAAGTCAGGATCTGTGCTGGAGTAATCAGAGTATCGCTGCCCGCAGATCTGATCAGCCGCTACCCGGAGGAGGACCTGGACTCGTTTCCTCTGCCCGAGTCGGTGCCGGTCTTCTGCCTGCCGATGGGCGTCACCGTGGAGAGCTGGCCTCAGAACACCAAGTACCAGCTGCCCGTCTTCTCCACCTTCGTCCTCACCTCCGCCTCCGGGGACAAGGTGGGTTAGCTGGAACCACAGATGATCAGCGGGTGGAGGTGATCCGTTGTGTTGTTTACTGTGCAGTTACAACTTTGATGCTTTAAACCATTGTTACACAGAGCAGCGAGGTCGTCTTTCAGTCCGACCTCTGAACTGAATAAACTGGCTCCTAACTCGAGCATGAACCGCTGTTACGTCTCCATCTTTGCTTCGTCCCTGCAGGTTTACGGCGCCGCCATCCAGTTTTACGAGTCGTTCTGCAGAGAGCTGCTGTCGGAGCGGCAGAGCATCCGCCTCGGTCTGCTGAGCGTCGTCGACCGGCGGCCCATCACCAACCGCAGCCTGCAGGTGAAGAAGAGCATCTGCGTCCTCTCTCACTGGCCCTTCTTCACCGTCTTCCAGAAGTTCCTCACCTTCGTCTACAGATACTCCATCTCCGGGCCCCACGTGCTGCCGATCGAGAAGTCCGTGAACCGTCTTCTCTCTCGGTCAGAGGCCTTCACACCGGCCTCTGACCGATAAATGCTTGCCAGCTGATTAAAAACACGTTATCACGTATGATCTGTGCACAGAAGCGATGTGTGCTGATGTCCGTTTCCTGTTTTTTTTTGTTCCCCTCCTGCAGACACATCTCCAGCTTCATGCACAACGTCCCGTTTCCTTCCCCGCAGCGTCCTCGAATCCTCGTTCAGGTAAGACACAACGAACCGACCGTGCAAATGTTTCGCCTTCTGAAAGTTCACAGCGCTGTCATGTTGTTCCGCACTGATACAACAAACCTGACGCAGGTTTGTGTGAGCTGGAGCAGGAAGCGTTTGTCCTCCAGGTCATTGCATTTGCATTAGATTTCTTCCTGCAGAGCACCTCGACGCTGCACGGTGGACAAATGTGTTGTTTGTGTGACTGCTTCCTGTGGCAGCTCTTCCTCCCCACAGTTGCCAAGTTTTCCCTCTGATGGACGGTGTCAATAAAACTGAGATCAAACGTGACTGACGTTGTGTAATTATCCTCACTTTGTAGATCGGATCGTGTTTTTCTGATGAAACGCGTAGATGGACGAAAACGCTGTGACTTTATTCTTTGCTCCCTCCTGACAGGACGTAGGAGGCGATCTGTTTGCAGAACAAACCGGGTAACGGCGCCCACTCAGAGCCTCTCCATGAATCACTCTCATCCTGAAATCATGATTTTTAACAAGAAACAAACCTGGGTGATGATCAGTGAGGGCTTCACGTGTGATTTTACTTGATTTGGATTAATCACGTCACAGTCGCTCGTTTATTCCTGGACTTTACCAGTGCGGCTTTGCATGAGTCACAGTTCAGAATAATCCTTCTTTGTCTGGTACTCGGTTCAAAGATCCTTTTAGTTCTTGAGAAGATGGTGTGTGTGTGTGTGTGTACTGATGCCAGCTGTGTGTGTTCGCAGCTCTCGCCGTACGACAACCTGCTGCTCTGCCAGCCTGTCTCCTCGCCGCTCCCGCTCAGGTGAGTGCCAGCTTTATCCAGACGAACCACAGTACCTTTACCGTCACGCCTGTGTTTGACCTTTGACCCCTGTGTGTTTACGATAGCGGCGCGAGCTTCCTGAAGCTGCTGCAGAACCTCGGCCCAGAAAACGCCTGCACGCTGCTGCTCGCCGTCCTCACCGAACACAAGCTGCTGCTGCACTCGCTCCGACCTGACGTCCTCACCTCCGTCAGCGAGGCCCTCGTCTCCGTAAGACGCGCACACGCCCTCATTCCAAATGACAAAAGTCCCAATGCTTCATCTTTATTCTCGTGGGCCAATTAAAATGAGGGCCCCCGCTGGCCCCTGAGCCACGGATTGAAAACACTGAATCCAAAGCAAATCTAGAGTTTGTTCCGGGCGGGAGGATAAATCTTTCCTTGTGATCCCGTCAGCAGGTTCATGGTTTGCAGACAGGCCTGAATCTGTCCTGGAAGTTTGTAACTCTGGTTTCTGTGTCCAGATGACGTTCCCGCTCCGCTGGCTCTGTCCCTACATCCCTCTGTGCCCGCTGCAGATGGCAGACGTGTTGCTGGCACCGATGCCCTTCATCGTGGGCGTCCACTCCAGCTACTTCGACCTGCACGACCCCCCCACCGATGTGGTGTGTGTTGACCTGGACGCCAACACCATCTTCCAGTGAGTCTGACGCCACCTGTGCACCGAGCCCAGGATAGATGGTTAAAAAGCTCCCTTTATTCGTATCTTCAGCAGTCTTCTTCCTGCATCTGCTCTGATAATCTTTGATTATCCACAGGAACCAAACAGTTTGTGTATCCGGCTGTAAACATGTTTATTTCTGCTGAATAGTTTTAACACGGGAGTCTATGGGGCTGCCTCTCTGCTGCCTCTGCGGGACGTCAGAGGAACTGCAGCATTTGATGTTTCAGCATTATCTTCATTGGAGAAAACTTTCCTCCTCCTCTTCCTCGTTTCAGGTCAGATGACAAGAAGCCACTGTCATGGCGTTCGTTACCCAGGAAACACGGCAAGATGCTGTTCAACGTCCTCACCAACCTCCACAAGACGCTGGAGAAGAGTGAGCGACTGCAACGGCTGAACACATGAACCAGTGTGTAAACAGGGTTGCGTCATTTAGTGACTCTCACTTCTTGTGGCTGCAGTTTGCACTCCCGGCCAGGAGGAGGCGACGCTGGAGTTCCTGCTGACCGACTACGACCAAATCTACAGGCGTCAGAAGCAGCTGGAGCTGGAGATCCAGGAGGCCTTCCTGCGCTTCATGAGCTGCCTGCTGCGAGGCTACAGAGCCTTCCTGCTGCCCATCACGCAGGCGCCGTCCGACACCACCACCGACTGCAGCTCCCTGTTCAACCTGCAGGGTGCGCCCTTCGTAATGTTGGCGGCTTTTGTGTGCAGAGCTGTGAATCGGGGCGTGTGATGCACACGCTGTGAGTGAAGCTGCGCCTCTTCCTCTTTGTGCCGCAGGTTTCCTGAAGTCTCGCGATCGAACGCAGCAGAAGTTTTACACCCAGCTGACCAAGACGCAGATGTTCACCCAGTTCATCGAGGAGTGCTCGTTCGTCAGCGACCGCCACGCCTGCCTCGAGTTCTTCGACGAGTGCGTGCAGAAGGTCAGAGCAACGATGCTTTCTCACGTTGCTCGGCTAGCGCCCAGCTAAGGTTTTGATTGGTGTTCTCTTGCTAAGCAGGTGGACGTGGAGAAGCCGGAGGAGGTGAGGCTGATCGATCTGGACGAGACGCACAGCGGCGAGCACACCGTCTTCATCATGCCTCCCGAGGAACCGCAGGAACCTGATGGGTCTGAGTGCCCCGCCCTCTACAGGTACAGCTCCGCCCTCAGGGGCCATGGAAATGGGTGGGGTGGCTTGTTTGCTGTGGAGGTGGGAGGATGGTCAGGATGTTAACCCAGGTGACCCGTTTCCTTCTGTATGTTAGCCAATGAGCTTCCATCCTTCTGCCATCACGTAGCGTCTCGATGTGAACAGACGGTTTCAACACTTTTCATTAAACACGTTTTTATTTGCTGCGTGCAAACAGACTGAATGGCGTCCTCTCGGGGAGGAGGAGCCACGTCAGCCGTACCACCTGCTCACACTTGTTTCCCTCTCACCTGTCCAGTTACGAGACCTTCCCCACCCTCAAACTAGAGCTCTTCGACCAGCCCCAGGACCAACTCCGCGTCCCAGCCAAGGGCAGCGCCCCCAGTAGCCCCGCCCCCCGCCGCACCAAACAGGTAGGACAAAGATGCTGAGCAGAAATGATCTGGTCCCGTGTTGTGTTCATTCGTGTGTACAGAGCACGCTCCGACGGGAGCAGCGATGCGTTCAGGGGAGCGCCGCGTGGAGGTTTCCTCCCATCCTCTGAGCTGAAGCTAGCTGTGACCCAGTTTCCCTCAGAGTGGAGGCGAGAGGAGGAGCTTTAACAGGCGTCCATTCATCATTGTAATTTAATGAACTGGTATCAATATTTCAGCACTCATTAAACATGCAGAGGCCACAGACGGCGTGACTGAGAGCGGCACAGACGGTGTTTTCTGATCTGAGCAGGAGGAGAGCATGCTGGGAGGATTTAGTCATGTACACATCGCAGCAGTGCTGTTAAAGCTCCTCCTGCAGGAGAGCTGCAGTTTCATCAGTGGGAGTGAATCTCATTTCTACTGCTCGCTGAAAACCGTCACAGCCTGCAGTTCCTCCCATGTCCACTTGAGGCTCCACGCCTAGCCTCAGCCCGCTCTCTGCTGTCGTCGAGCTAACTCACTGGACGCTCTGCAAACACAGACGACAGGCATCCTGATTAAACTAATAGTCATAATATCAGAGCTGTGATTGGTTCCTGTGAGCGATGCTCCTGGAAGTGCTGACACTGTGTGCAAAGAGCTGCATAAGAGCAGCGTGCTGCTGCGACGCCGGTCAGCTGTTAGACCGCTAACATTCAATAATGTGTCCGATCCTCAGCTGCACTCTGAGTGCTGTGAGTTCAAAGTCTGAGATTATGACTCAGGTCAAACTGTCACAGGTTTGTAGGCTGGCGTCGGTGCTGGGAGCAGAGGAAGGGATCCTGATTCTGCTGGTCGGAGACCAGTGCAGGCTTCCACTCTGTAAACCCTGCAACAGACTCGGGACCGTGTCCTGATCTGGAGCTCCACAGGGTTCTGTCTCGGGACCCCGTCCTGTTTTCTTTGCACGTGCTCTCTGCAGGTCGATCACCAACATTTACAGCTGTATTTAGTAGGGCTGCAACGATACACAAAATTCACGGTTCGATATTTTTTCAATACAAAAAAATGTTCATGCCTTTTTAATTTGTCATTTATTAAAATTATAAATATATATTTTAACTCAAAAGTACAGTTTTTAAATGTAATGTTGCTGAAACAACAAAGGGATAAAAAATAAATATCTGATGGAGGAATCACTCATCTTTGGAAAAGAGAGTTTATTACAGAGAAATGTCTCTTTCAAAATAAAAGCTCTACTATCCACTTCTTCTGGGCTATATTCTCAGCAGCATAAGGAGAATCCTGTGCTAACGGCTGTCTAAATCACTCGGGTAAAGTTAGCAGCATGCTTGCTTTTTTTTGTCTGCTTCCACTTGTCTTTGCACTAGGATGATGTCGG